CCTCTTTAACTCTTGATTCAAACTGGAAAACAAAAATGTGTGGGACATCAGGGGACACAGCACTGATTTAATATCTAACAATAGTAAAGTTATTAATTAGTTTAGGCATGATCGTGCTATTGTGCCTAACAAAGAATTTTCTTGCAGAGATAATAATAATATTAAGGCAGGAAATGATGTCTGAGGTTGACTTCTAAGAAAAGTTAAGATGAAAAATAAAGTTAGGAGGAGGAGAGGCTAAGAGGGACGAAGACAAGCTGAAACAAGAGGGTGATAAAAGTTGGTGACGTTACCAGGGGCTCATTATTCCCATTCCCTCTACTTTAGTATATTTTGAATTTTCAACGGATGCAAAGAGACTGAGAGAGAGAGAGAGAGCAATCTCTTCTGTCTATATAATTGTCTCTAATAGGTGGAGGTAGGGCTGAGGGTGTAGCTCAGTTGTACAGCACATGAAGCCCCTGTGTTCACACACACACACACACACACACACACAAGGGAGGCAGAATAGGAAGATAGCAAGCAGTTGCTTTTCTTTTTCTTTTCTTTCTTTCTTTTTTTTTCCCCCCAGTACTAGGAATTGAACCAGGGCTTTTGTATGGAGCTATATCCTCACCCCTTTTTTAAAAATTTTTTCATGTTGAGACAGTCTTGCTACGTTGCTAAATTGCCCAGGCTGGGTTCAAACTTGTGATTGCCATCCCCTCAGAGTGCTGGGATTACAGGTGTATGCCACCATGACCGACCAGTTGCTTTTTAAATACCTTATTTCAACCTGGCTGAGTGGCCCATGCTTGTAATCCCAGCTACTCAGGAGGCTGAAGCAGTAGGATCACAAGTTCTAAGCCAACCTGGGCAATATAAGACCCTGCCTCAAAACTAGAAACGTCCTGGGATTTAGCTCAGTGGTTCCATCGCCTGCCTCGCAAGTACAAGGACCTGAGTTCGATCACCGTACCAAAAAAATAAGAAAAACAAAGTGGGCTTGAGCTCAGTACAAAGGCCTTGAATTCAATCCTCAGTACCACAAAAGCAAACAAACAAAACTTCTTTCACCCTTCGTGGTTTCCCTGACCCTTATCCTTAGGCCCTGAGGCCACCTTAACACAAAGACTTAAGCTGCTAATTGTGAAGTTTTAGGCATCCACAGCTGGCGGAGAACATCACTGGTATTAATTCCTCTTCTTTGGAGACAATCAGGAGAGCAGGAATATCCAAGTGAGTTGGTAATACTCTGTTTCAGCAATGTAAAATGAAGAAAAAGTTATGTGCTGCTCCAGTTTGTTGTGGGCTGGGCTGTGCTGACTGCAGGCCTACGGGCCCCGGCCTGGCGCCAGGCACTTCAGGTACCCAACTCTTGGAAAGCACCACTCCTGCCCCAGGAGTGAGAACTTTCTGTTAGTGAGAGGAGAAATGAGGAGGACAGGGCTCAGAAGCTCTGCTTAGCTGCGGAAAACTTCAACCTGTGCAGCCAGTCCTGCCCAAACTCCTGCAAGCTGTCTCCTTGCCGTGCTTTGTGTGCATTTTCCATACATCTGTGGTTTGGGCTGGGTGCTTCATTTTTAGTTTGTTGTGTTGCTTGTTTGTATACAAACCCTTACCTGAATACACCAGACACAACCCTACGGAGTGTTGTCCTGTCCCCCTTAAAGTTACCCTTCTTCCTTCACAGCACTCATCTGAAATGATATTTATCTGTATATTTGCTTGATCCTTGGCTTTCCTCCCTAGAATACCATCTCTGCAGAGGGAGCAGTGTTGTCTTGTTTACCATTTTGTCCACCATCCCTGGCCCCAAACCAGTGTTCCAGAAATGTCTTCGGAATGCAAGAAGTGGACAAGTGAGTGCGTGGACGAGAGTGCATGTGGGTGTCTGCCAGGGAAAAGCCAGCAGGTGGGCGGAGAGCTGCCTCCAGCCGGGTCAGGGCCGGAGCTTCTCCCCCGTGGGCTTCCACTGCGGCCCTCACCCACGTCCCATTCGATCTTCTCCTTCTTTCTCGTTACATTTTCCCCTTTAATACTTTTGTCTGGGCTTTTACTTACAAAAGTACTACCTACTCATTATTTTTAAAAACATAAAAGTATCTGGGTGTGGTAGTACACACCTGTAATCCCAGGTATTCCGGAAGCTGGGCAGGAAGATCACAAGTTCAAGCCCAGCCTGGGCAACTTCATGAGAACCTGTCTCATGAAAATATGTAAAGGGCTGGGGCATAAAATGTTGGGGGCTGGGAATGTAGCTCAGCTAGAACACGGCTCAACATTGAGGAGGCCCTTGGACATACAGCCTTCTGGTCTCTTCTTCTGCAGCAAAGGGGCCTCTGCCACCCCTATGCCCCCAAACTCTCACCACTCATTTGAACAGACAATTGCTTCTTTACTTCTCCAACCCTCTCAGAAAGAGAGTCTCTGTCCTGGGGCTTCCTGAAAACAAAATCTCCCCCCTTTCTTTGTTTCTTTCTGGCTCTTCTACCTCCTTGCTTTCCTTTCCCAATGAACCAAACAAAGCAAAATGAAAAACACAAAATGGCATGGAGTTACAACAAAAACTGTGCTGTACAGTCTGGGTGGGAAACATGCTCCTCCATCGGACAGAGTGACCTTCGCCCTTTCTGGGCCTCGACTTCTTCTGAAGTAAAACAGAAATGATATTACCTAGGTAACCGTAGCAAAGATAAAATGGGTACGTGCAGGCAGGGTCAGGATGCTTTTTACCTTTGAATTCTCCTTTCTCCCTGATAAGGCTCCCTTGTCCAGACTTTTGTGGCTTCTCTTTTCATTTTAGTTTCACTAGAGATAAAGACTACCAATATTTTTACATTAAATTATTTATAGAGACTAATTTAATCAACTTGTCCTTTCTCTTCACTGGGTTTAGTCTGGTTTTCCTGACTTCCCCATCTACCTATCTGTGGTCTTAGGATCTGATTGGTTATAGGGGCTCAAAGACATCTGGCTGAGGGTAGGAGAAATGGGGTACCTAGCCATGGCCCACCCTCCTGCGTGGCGGCTCCCTGCACCCCTCAGCCTCAGTGTGGCCCAAGGAATCCACTTTTTGTTCCCAGAGGTCAGAGTTCAGGAACAACAGTTGCACAGCCTACTGTCAGGCAGCTACTTGCCTCCTCCAAGGCTGTGCTTTCCTGGGACTGAACAACAGCAAAACAAACATGGGCTCCCTGCCCAGCCCTGCTTTTGCACAAACAGACACGCACGCACGCACACACTGGTGCACGCACACACACACACACACATGTTGCTTTGGGCGAAGGAGCCAGCCTGGTGATCGTGGCCACCGGGGTCACTCAGGGTGTCCCCCACCCTCCATCTCCTGCTGTGAATCTTGGAGTCACCAGTTTTGAGTTGGCTTCTGGCTAGGGAAGGGTAGATCAGATTGGGGAGGAAGCCCTGCAGCTCCTGAGCCTGCAGGGAGACAGGGAGGGCATGTCCACCCCCAGCCTGGAGGCCCAGGTACTGCCTGAGCCTGAAGAAGGAAGAGGCCCTGGGTGCTTCTCCTCCGACAGCCTCCCTGCACCCAGGGTTGGGATTGATTTCTACAACTTTCCCCTTCCAGCCAGCTGGCCCTACAACAAAAGGTCAAACAAAAGGCAGAGGAAGAGGATAGGGGTGCTGTGGAGACCAGCCAGGTCAGCGTGCAAGGCCGGGGAGGAACTGGTAGTCGACAACAGACCCAAGGGCAAACACAGTCCTCTAGAAGCTTTTGTGCAGTTAACGTCTTAAGAACTTTTGCAAGAGGCCAGGGGTGGGATTTCTCTCTTCCAGATCTCGATGGTGGACCGCCTCAGGCAAAAGCAGGGCAGCAGAAGGAAGAAGCAGATGGAAACTGGAGGGGGCTGTGCAGAGGGTCAGAATGAAGGCAGGGTGAGCGGAGGGAGCTAGGAAACCAGGGAAAAGGTAGGAGACGGGAAGCAGGCCTCCAGGGCATCCCTGTGGGGCAGCTGCACACAGGAGGCCGCTTTGATGGCTGGCCGGCCCACGGTGCCATGGTGAGGGAGGACAGGGCCTCAGGAGGGGTTGAGTGACCTGGGGACAGAGGAAGACCCTGGCCCTGGGCCTTCCTTGATGGGTGCATGGTCCCTCACCAGTGCACCGAGGCCCGGATTTTCTCCCCTTCCCTCCGCCCTTGCTTGCTCCCTGGCTTGCTTTCTGGGAAGGAACTCTTGAATACCGTCACAGTTATTTAGTATAGAGACGTTCTCTCTGGCTCCTCAGTCTCTGTGGCTTCTGCCAGCAGTGAGATGTGGCTTGCTTCTTGGGAGGCACAGTACTTCCACTGAAGGCCTCTTTATTTTTGTAACCGTTCCAGTAGTGCCGCTACTGGCAACCTCAAGTCCAAACTTTACCCTTCTCCCTACCAAATAAAAACCTCACCCCGGAGCTTTCATCTAGGGAGATGAAAGGGGTTCCCCAAGCCACCCTCAGCAGACTTCGCCAAGAGCCAAAAAAGGGGTTTCCCTGGGCAAGCAGCCAAGTCTGAAGAGAGAGGAGGCCCCTGGCTCCTGGGGCAGGAGGCCAGTTTGAGAGAGTTCCCTTGAACAGTGCCTCGTCCAGTCCTTCAAACACTGGCATCTCGGCCAGCGTGAGTCTGTGGGGAGTCGAGGAGGGCAGCCCCAAACTTAACGGGATCAGGCTTCACCCCTGCTTGGGGTAACCCTGCGTCAAGCTCCTCAGCTATCGGGTGCCACCTGCCTGTCCTGGGGCTGTTGTATCAGCAGGTGCAGTAGCGAGGGCAGTTCCGGTCTCTTCCAGCCGGAGGGCGCCCTCCATGATAGCGGGTTTCCTGCCTCAGCCCAGGCCAGTGAGGGACTTTGGCAGCAGCCGTGGAGCTGCCTTCCAGCCCCTGAGGGCTGCTAAGCACCAGGCTGGGAGATGAGGGGGAGGCTCCATTTTCACCTCCTGAGGTTTATAAGGTTAATAGAGGGTAATAACAGGCACTTTCTCCCACTTCAAAGCCCGAGGAGTCAACTGTTCTGGGAAAGTGGAACCGGAACTCAGCCTTCCACCTGCTCCTTGGGGGCAGCTGCGGCAGGAAGGCCACAGGGTGAGGAGCATCCAGCAAGCGGACTGGCCTCGTGGAGCACAGATGTGAGGAACAAGGGGACATCTGCCCGGGAAGCTGAGCTGGTTGTGGCCCGCAGCCCCAGGAACCCCAAATGGAAGAGACCTGTCCAGATGCGTGGATGAGCGTTTGTAGGCACAGAAACGTGTACGCTGCCACGCATGCACACCCATGTAAACACTGGTACACACTCCATACTAACGTGCAAGCCCACTACACACACTCGCAGCCACATACACAAAGGCACAGGCAACACAGGAGCACACAGGAGCTGCGTGTACAGACACAACTCACCATGCAGGAGGCACCTACTAAAGGCACAGGCACAGGTGTCTGCACGTGCCCAGGTACACACGTGCGCGTGCGCACCAACACAGGCACGCACGCATTCCTGCACCACCCCAGCCCCAGCTCCAACACCAGCCACGGGGCCCCTGGAGAGTCCTGGCCGGCGGCTCTGCGGCTCTCCCTGGACCTCAGCCCGGCCCCGCCCCGCCCCCGCCCCTGATTGGCTGTATAAATCCTCTCCCTCTGCCCCTGCCCTCACCCTCGCAGCCACCTGACCTCGCGCGGCTCCCACCTCGTCTGCCTCCGCCCACTCCTTCCAACCCGTCAGGTCCGAAGTGTCCCTGCTGGCAGCATGGGTAAGCACGACTCAAAACTGGGGGGCTGGCAGTTAGGTGAGGGGGGACTGGTCTCTTCATTGCCCCTTCCCTGCATGAATTGTCCGCACACGCACACGCTCGCGTGCTCCTAGCACGCAGGGGGTCACTTTGGAGGGGAGTCAGGGACCCCGCAGTGTCTCACTGGGGACCTGTTTCAGTGCCTCTCCCCCCCCCCCGTCCCTCAGCCCTCCTGCTCCTCCGTCCGTGGGCTCCTAGTGTCAGGCTGAAGTCTAGAGGCGCGAACTTGCCTCCTGGAGCTGGCTGCCCCCTGGACTGGCCCGATGCCCTGTCACCACCCAGGCATAGAAGAGCCACTCGGGGTCCCCCAGGTTCATCTCAAACCCAGGATGCTCAGCGCCCTTGTCTGAGTGCTTCAATCAGGAGGGCACCCCCAGAAAGAGAAGTAGTGCACCCTGCAGCCTGAGTGGCCTGCAGCCTGACCTCGGGAAGTTTGGGCGGGTGGACAGAGCCGGGCTGGGTTGACGCTGTGGAACCAGCCACATCTTTATGGTACTTTCACTTCTCTCTCTGCCTCTTCAGCTTTATAGTTGTGTTGTTTTGTTTTGTTTTGTTTTGGGAGGGGGCTGTGCCAGGAAGGATCTCAGGGCCTTCACACTGAGTTGCACCCCAGTCCTTCTGTATCTTTAAACTTTGAGATGGAGTCTTGCTAAGTCATTAAGTTGCCCAGACTGAGCTCAGACTTGTGATTCTCCTGCCTCAGCCTCCCAGAGTGCTGGTATTATAGGCATGTGCCACCACACCTGGCTTCATATATATCTTTTTTTTGCGGGAGTATCAGGGATCGAACTCAGGACCTTATGCTTGTAAGGCAGGCACGGTGCCATTGAGCTAGATCCCCAGTTCTTCATACCTATCTTGATGTCTCAGACTTTGTGAATCTCCCTCCCTTCCATGTCCAGCAACCTCCTTCCCCTCCCCCTGGTGTCCTGTGCCAAGCCCTGGCACAACTTGGTTGTACAGAAAAACAAGTCTCCTTCATTCCTTTGTTCCGGACCCCATGCCCTTTCCCCCAACTGCATTCCTCCCTCAGGGCATCCAACACTGCCTGGCCCTCTCTCCCACCTCTGACAGCCCTACCCATATTGACACAGTCTTGATTTCAGCCTTCGGAAGGACTTCTGCCTACATTGTCTTATTTACCCATATTTCTATGTATTTCTCTTCACTTGGAAGTAAGCATGACTATGTTATTTGACCTGTGACTCTACCTTAAGAGGTAGGTAGGGGATATTGTTATTGTTATTTCGTCCCTTGGCAAGTGAAGGGGAGAAAGTGGAGATACCAGATGTCAAATCTGGAAGTGAAGCCAGGTTTAGAATTTGAGAATATTGGGCTGGGGATTTAGCTCAGCGGTTGGGTGGCCTGCCTTGCAAGCGCAAAGACCCAAGTTCGATCCCCGGTACAAAAAAAAAAAAAAGAACTTGAGAATATTTTTTGAGGTACTGTAGCTTAAACCATGGGTCTCCCTCTGAGCCGCATACAGCAACTTTTTGTTTTAATTTTGAGACAGGGTCTTGCCAAATTGCACAGGCTGGGCTCGAACTTGCAATCCTCCTGTCCCAGCCTCCCAGAGTGTGGAGACTATAGGCTTGTGCCATGAAACCTGGCTGGTTTTTGGACTCCATGTCAGGATCAGGATCCCAGAGATCCGTAAGGCTGGACTCTGGATACTCACGGCTTCTCATCTACACACACACACACACACACACACACACACACAC